TTATCAGAGTATCTTGTTGTTTTACAATTATTGCATTCTCTTGGTTCACCCCATTTATAAGTTGCATTATCTAATTCAAAAGCATAAATAAACCTTTGTTTACAAAATTCCTTTTCATTTTCTAATAGTTTTTGGTTTTCATTGACTAATTGTAAAAAATAACTTTTATAATTTTCACTGTCAGAAACAATTAGAAAAGCAGAATAAGCAATACTGTACATTTCATTAAAAATTTTAACTACTGATTCTCTTCTGTCTTGTGTTAATAACTTAACAAAGGACATTTTAACTTTTTAATGTTTATTTTTTAAAAAGGTCTTTTTTTCTGCGCACTCGCACAAATAAATTTGGTATTTTTATAAGCAATGCGAATTTAATATGCACCTTTTTACTGCAAGAGGTTTTAAATGTCCACCTATTCAATATCATTTAGCATAAGTGCTTAAAATCTTCTTGCAGAATGACCAAGTATTCAAATGCTCATTATAAATGTATGAGACCATTTAGATTATTTTTATAGGACGCGAAAGATTTAAATGCCAATTATAGTTTGTCCTTTATGATTTAGATGGTTTCTTTTTTTATTGGTACCTTCACAAACAAGAGTTTGTTTTAGTGTATCCCTTACTAAATCCTTGCTTTTGTGCCCATTGTTTAATATACTTGATACAAACTTCCCAAGTTGGAAAAAGCATACTAGAATCCAATTTTATATTAGCTTCGACATCTCCTCTTCAGTGACATCAGTATCTTCAGGAACGTGATGGTTGATATACAAAATTTATATTGAACGGACGCGGCGGACATTGTTCAATAAATGTTCCGCGTAACAACTTATCCTCCGGACATGTTCACTCAGTTGACAACACTGTTCACAAACTTAACGGCAAGTATTACTATCAATCAATACATGTATTATAATTTAATATTAAATATTTTATAGAGCGAAAGGATATCCAATAAGTTGAATAAACGTAACATAATTAAAAAGGATGTTTTAACGTGTGAATTACTTGTTTTTATCAAGTAATAAAATATCAGAGATTCCAATTATATCTATATTAATAATATATATATGATGTTTTTATACATTCGGTGCCCAAATGGCTTTTTTTCTTCACATTATTTTTTTTTTCCTTTCAATATCAATTTTTTAATTCTTGTTTTTTTTTTTGATTTCACTCAAATTTATTAAATACATAAAAAATTTTTTTTATATTATTTATTTTTATAATAAATATAGTAGTTTAATCTATTTATTGATTAGCCATTTCTCTTGCAATATCTAATAAAAACGTTGTATTAGTAAAATACAAAGATGAAAAATACCCTCAAAAAATTATTCTTCATAAAGTTTATATTATTTATACCTTCTCCTTTCTTCCTTGCATCATCAATATCACCGACCATATAAAAAGCAGCTTCAGGTAAATCATCGCATTTTCCTTCTAAAATTTCTTTGAATGAACGAATGGTGTCTTTTAATTTAACAAGACGCCCTTCATAACCAGTGAAAACTTGTGCAACAGCAAATGGTTGACTCTACACACACATAAAATAAATATATTATTAATAGAGTTCATAATTAAAAAATTGGAAAAAAATATTTTTTTAATTACTTACCAGGAATCTTTGAATTTTTCTTGCACGTTCGACAGTTTGCTATTGACATCAGCAATGATAAATATGGGTTAATTAAAGCATTCATCTCACATAAAAATAAAATAATTCATACTTTCTCCCCCCATCGTATCTCGCACCTCACACCTCAAACACCCCCTCCTACCTTATCTTCTTCTGACAATTCGTCCATACCCAAAATTGCAATGATATCTTGTAAAGATTTATAATCTTGAAGTATTTTTTGTACATCTGTGGCAACTCTATAATGTTCTTCACCTACTACTCTAGGATCCAATAGACGTGATTTTGAATCAAGCGGATCTACAGCTGGATAAATACCCAACTCTGCAATGGAACGTGACAATACAGTGGTTGCATCTAAATGACTAAAAAAATAAATTGTATTCATTATTATGAACAATCACAAAATTTTAAATAAAAAATACAATGTCATAGTAAACAAATAAATATTTTTATGCCTGAATGTGGTGGCTGGAGCTGGATCTGTTAAATCATCAGCAGGTACATATACAGCTTGCACAGAAGTAATAGACCCTTTTTTTGTTGTTGTAATTCTTTCCTGCATACCACCCATATCTTTAATGATATATGGTAATGTGCGCGTGTGAAAAATTATGAATATTGAATATTTGAAATGAATGATAGAATATATAAAATTTTATAATAATGAATGAAAATGAAAATGATTGAAACATTACCAGTACTAATCAAGTTAAGAATCCATTCGTTTATTATTAATTTTTTTGTTTTAATGTGAAAAAGAAAAATTAATAATCATTTAGTTGATGATAATAAATAGCATGAATATAAAAATATAATCACTTCATGTTATTTATTTAATTAGCTACAGACTCAAAAATACCTTAAGGTAGGTTGATAACCTACAGCAGAGGGAATACGACCCAACAAAGCAGACACTTCTGAACCAGCTTGAGTGAATCGGAAAATGTTATCAACAAAAAGTAGCACATCTTGACCTTCATCATCACGGAAATATTCAGCAATAGTGACACCAGTTAAAGCAACACGAGCTCTAGCACCTGGTGGTTCGTTCATTTGACCGAAGACAAGTGCAGCTTTTGATTCACCATCAAGTTTTATCACGCCAGTTTGAATCATTTCATGGTACAAATCGTTTCCCTCGCGCGTTCTCTCGCCAACACCACAAAACACCGAGTAACCACCATGAGCTTTTGCAATGTTATTGATCAACTCCTGAATCAACACAGTTTTTCCTACGCCAGCGCCACCAAACAATCCAATTTTGCCACCTCTTGCATAAGGAGCCAACAAATCCACAACCTTAATACCAGTTTCAAGAATTTCAGGAGCAGTGGATTGATCAACAAATTCTGGTGCGTCTGCATGAATAGCAGCAGTTTTTTTTGTGTTAATTGGACCACGTTCATCGATTGGTTCTCCGATAACATTGATGATGCGTCCTAAACATTCAGGACCCACGGGGATTTTAATTGGTGAACCTGTGTCTAAAACTTTTTGACCACGAACAAGACCTAAAATATATTTTTTTTTTTTTTGGCGGAGAAGAAAAGAATGATAAAATATAATTGATCAATTCACACAAAATTAATCTATTCCATCCATCGTTATATAATTCATCATCATAGATTACCTTCTGTACCATCCATAGCTATTGTTCTAACAACATTTTGTCCAAGATGTTGAGCCACTTCAAGAACAAGACGATTACCATCTGGCTTTTGTACTTCCAACGAATTTAAAATTGGCGGTAAACTTTTTTCCTCGAATTGTACATCAACAACTGCACCAATTACAGCTTGAATTGTGCCGGAATTACTGCTTGTCTCGGTAACATAATTACGGCCTAATTATAATCAATTGATTGAATTAGTCGATAAACATAATTCATTTTTTCTTTATAGATAAATCTTTTTGACAAACCATAAAATACAAAAGGACTACGAGTTGTTGCTGTTGATGTTCTTAAAAAATTATTATTCCTATAAAAGCCTGTTGTTATATTTCTACTAAATATCTTATTACTAATAAAACTGCTACTACTACTTCTACCACTACATGTCAACCTAAACACCGAACGTTGAAGAAATGTCATGGTGAAAAGAGAAGAGAGTAGCTTTTTTAGGAAGCTTTTGATAAAAAATTAGAAATGCAAAAAATTTTTTTTTATTTAAGAAATGATCGTCAAATTAGATTGACAACAAAAAATTGATGAAATGATGATTAATCAAAACCACATACAGGATTGGATTGTTTTTCTTTACTTGCGAGAATAAATATCTGATATAATACTTCTAGTGCATGGTGTCTATCATGTGATTCATAGCTATTAACACTAGTGGCAATTAATTGATTTATCTCCAACCAGAAGCAACAGAATATATATTCAATGGATTCCTTACGATAACTTAAAAAAGACATTAAAAGATGGGTGAATATGGTTTTGAGACGGTATATAAAGCTACATGTGCAAATGGTGCAAAATATATTTTATTGAAAGAATTAAAGGTGTGATTGTTGTATATATCATAATTCTCAAGATATTTCAAATAAATTATTGTTATTATTATTAAATACTAATTCTATTGATGAAATTAAATATTTATTTCGTTGCCAGTTTAAAGTTATGTTAAATTTCATAATAAATCATATATATATAGTTAAAATTTATGGGTTTAGTATACAAAACCCAATTACAAAGAATATAAAGGATGGAATTCTTCATGATGGTTCAACAAAAAACTTTGGAAAAATGAAATCAGAAATCTTTTAATCACATATAGTGGTAATACTCTTTATGAAAAAATTTGAAAATAGCAGACCTATATAGGATTATCATGTACAATAGAGATATGTGTGTATTATCGCGCCAGAAGTATTAAATGGTAAATCGTATACAACGACATCTGTCATCTGTAATTTTGGAGTTCAATAGTTTGGCACATGATTTAAGACCTTGTTTTTCGAAAAACACACTCAAAAATTTACATTCAACTGGCATATAGATGCATGGATGCTAAAGGAATTAGAGAAATTATATAGAGATTGAATAAGGTTTTCTTTAGGAAATATTTCAATGATATGGAAAAAAATTTCATATAATCGTTACAACAATTCATCCAATATCAGTTTATACAAGCAAGCAGACTTTTGAAATTTACAAACCATCCGCATTGGCAATTACAACGGTAACATTAATATGAATTACATTAACATCATAAATAAATGATGAATTTCCAAATTAATAAATCCCAAAGTTTATATCAGCAAGCAAACTTCCTATATACATACATATACTATGAATATAGAATATTTAATTAGGCGCGACAAGCAATTTTTCTACTATTGGATCCGTAGCTGGTGATAACTTTGAAGAAACCCAATCTGGATCTGTTAATTGAGAGATGTCATTGCCTTTATACTTTGGTATCTTCTAAAAAAAAATAATAATAATAAAATACAATAAAGGTATTATTAACAATGGCAAATAATGACTGTTTAAAAAAAATATATATACATATTATTTTTCAATAATAAAATTTACATCACGTATTTTATTGTAATTTTCTTCTCTTGATGAATATTCTCTTATTAAATATTTGTTACCAAATTCATGATATATTCTAGTCTCATTCATTCTAAATAAAACATCATCGACTCTTAGAAAGTAACGTTGTAATATGAAAAAACACGATTCCATAACACGCTTATTTCATAATAATATATTAAAGCAAATCAATAAAGTATAATGAGAATGAAAAATGAAAAATGATAATAAAAATGAAAATGATAATATACATACAACTTTCATATTTAATATAGCAGTTCCATTGTCAGCCAATTCATCCTCAAATAACATCATTTCATCATAAAATAAAATAGACTCGGGTATTCGAAGTTTTTCATAATTGATTCTTTCATCAGATTTTTCAAATTTCTAAACAAATTGTAATTATTACTACAAGATAACAATAATGACAATGATGAAATAATAAATTGTGAATAAACCTTTTCAACAGTTGGATTTATTAAAGTGCCAGAATATGATGTTGAATAAGTCCAATCATATGGCTTTATTACATCTTTAATGTCTTCATTATTATTAGCACTATAATAAATTAAATTAAATTTGTTTTTCATTTTCTTTTAAATCGATTGATTGATTGATTGATTGATTGATTGATTGGTTACCTTTTCCTTCTCCATTCATCTGAATATGCAACTTTAACCTTTTCGCCACCTTCTTTACTAGCATCAACATATTTCAATGCATCAATAGGTGAAAACTCAAATAAAATATCATTTTCATTCGAGATTTGTAACTTATTATTTCCAAAAAACATTTCTGGCAACGAAATCCCTACTTCTTTTGAAACTCTTAAGAATGAATTAAAGACTGAGCGATGAGATATCAATACATATTAATGTATTCAATTAATAATTAATAATTACTTTTCGATCTCTTGTGAATTCGAAATTGGCTTCTTGACAGTTGTTATTATCCATCCTCGATGTTTGATTCCGCTCTTTGTACCATCTTTAATCAATTGATATTTTTGTTGTTGTTGTTGAAGATTTACTGGTATAATAGTGGTAACCTTAGTAGCATTGGCGGTATTAATAGTAATGTGTGTTGTGGTTGCTATATTACTATTAACATTGGCATTATTATTATTGATCATTGTTTTTTTTTTGACAATTGTGGCTTAGTATTATTATTTGTGTTTATTTATCAATTAATTACTCGACTGAACTTTAATTTATTAACAACATTTTGAATACATGGCAAGCAATTTGTTGGTAGAAGAGAAAGATGTCAAGATTCCTTTAACTGGAAATTAGAACAGGAATTTAAAGAGAAAAACTTTTCTAGATAGAACTTTGGGTACAAGTGTATCTTTAATGCCGAGCATTGAATTACTGCTCAAATTTCCTTGTTTTGATTTTTTCTTTTTATGATTATCTTCCATTCACTGATTATAATAATGTAATTATAAAATAAACGTATATAATAAAACTATCAATATTAGTAAACAAAGAGAATAGAATAAAACATTGCAAAATATTTCTTGAATAATTATTTTTCTAACCGTTAATCTTCATCGGACGTACTCTGCTATAAACTTCATACAGCGATAGATCAATTGAGCGCGAGGGATTGGTATTTTGGAATTTAATCGGAACAGTTTGTGAAATGTGAAATTATTAATATCAACATTAAAGTAACGCATTTGACACGAACGCGACCTCATAATACTTTTTGGAAAAGCTTGGAATTACTCGTGTAAATTAACATAGTTTGTGTGATGAATAAAGACTTTTCTATGTAGGAAACACAGATTTGAGGTCTCATTCACAGATCAGCAATTAAACGTAAAATTTATCCTTTAAACTAACTTATTAGACTGTGACGCCAGGATCCCGAACAATCTTAAAGATGGGATGGTACATTCAATTTTGGGTAGAAATAGATCCATAATCGAATCTCATTTTTTAATTAGGATAAATTTTGTGATTATCTTGTAAATTATTTCCAAAAATGGGAATAAAGTGGGTATGTACGTACCATCTCGG